GAAACAGGGAACAGGCATAAAAGCGCGCGTCCGTGCTGCTGCAACACATCAACTGCAACAGGGAACAGGCATAAAAGCGTGCGTCCGTGCTGCTGCAACACATCAACAGTAACAGGGAACAGGCATAAAAGCGCGCGTCCGTGCTGCTGCAACACATCAACTGCAACAGGGAACAGGTATAAAAGCGCGCGTCCGCGCTGCTGTAACACATAAACTGCAACAGGGAACAGACATAAAAGCGCGCGCCCGTGCTGCTGGAGCGCACCGACTTCCGCACGTTGGCCGTGAAGCCGCAACTGCAATATGTCAGTTCGAACATGTCAACACAGCTGTGTGGCGATGCAGTTGAAATGTCCAAGTCCCAATACGTCTACTGGAATACAGATTTGGGCACATCAATTAAAACGCGTTGACTCTGACTCGTAATTTGCGTCACGTTAGTTGCGGATTGTGTATTGCAAACGTTGGCTGCGGCATGTCAACAGGAACATGTCGATGTAAGTGGTCTAGAACATCACGGCGATTGGAAGATGTCACCTGGAAACTGGAAGCTGGAGCAGTCAAAGCGCGAAGGGCACTTACATACCGCTGGTTACAAAGATATCGCCGGGATTTGACTCGTTGAAGGCTCAGCGGATGTCCAGGGACCCGAACTAGTGGTCCGGATGGACAAAATGATGGCTCGCGGTGCCAAACCAGTGAAACAGTGGCATAGTGCCTGTAGTCAAGTGGGCAAACAATGCGTCAGAGTAAGTCATGCCCCTACCCACCGATGCTGAACTGACGACGACGACGAACCCTGACGCCGGAGATGCTGCAATAACACTATTGAAATTTATTCGAACGATTGTGATGTGTCGTCTCATGTCTACGACGCATTGGTTATGCCGTGAGATATTTTTTTTTTAAGAAGAGGCCCATCGTTGCGTAAAAACTGCTCATGCACCAATCCCATTTCGGGTAGATTGTAATCTGAAATTAACTTATTCGAACGAGTTGAAAGAGAAGCATGACAGAAAATCATGATGTTTTGATCATAATCCGGAGGCACCTCTTCCAAGACGATGTTATTTTAGATCATCCGAATCTCTCTAAAGATCAATATCCAATCAAGCCCCTGCCCCTATCGATTGTGCTATCATACAGCGTTTCAACCTCTGTTTTTCGTCAGCCCGTGTGAAAAGCTGAAGTAATGCCCCGTGAATGACCTATGGACCTTGACAAATCCAATAACAAAATAACTGCGTCACGAAGACATACATAGAAAACCAAGCACAGGGAGTCAAAATCTTGCTGCACTATTTTGCAATTTCTGTTGCATCACCTACCGTGCGTCGTAAACACCATGCTGCTATAGTTTCTGTGCATTCGGCAAGGAAGCTGCATGACGTCACACGGAATCTTTTGCCATCTGGCGCTCAGTGAGCGGGGAAATACGAGCCGGATGGCACAAGACCTTCACAATGTCATGGAGCGTCCATGCCGTTCGGTTCAGTCTAAAAGTAAGTTACGGCATGTGGATGCATCTTTCAATGCAGCGCATTACGTAAGTACGATCGACACAGATGAAGCAAATTGAGCTTCAGTCGCACTTAAATGTAATGAAGGGGCCGATGCGATCCTATGGTAGTGAATATTCGCTGCAGACATCCCTTTACAAGCCGTACCAAGTGTGCTGGTCCGCCTAACAACGCTGATAGAGACGTGCTACCGGTCAAACTTCATGACGTCGTCACGGGGTTTCTAGCTACGCTTTTTAGCAGGCTCAGGCAGGCGTTCATCCATTTACTTGTCACTGGCGTGACCGAGGGGCCTGATTCACAGCCCTGATAATGAATGTAAACTCCCTCAGCAGTCGTCATCCATAGATGGATGAATGCCGAACATCGTACGGACATTCTCAGGGTCAGCTGGCAGCTGATGACGGCCAAGGCATTAATCGTGCTCGGGTTCAACGCTAGTGTGATAAAGTGATTCAAATAATTAGTGTATTGTTGGTGATTGCTGCTGCCAAATGCTGTCGTCCCTTTTAAAGCGTTAAAGCGCGTAGAAATGTTTACCGGGGTAGATGTGGGATTCTACAAGAAGCTCGAAGGAACGACTTGTGAGTCTGTGACCAAAAATGTTCCTCTGAGTTAAAGGGTGATTTAATTTAAAACAAAATTTCATAACCCACCAGCAAGGCCTTATTCGCATAACTTCTGGAAAAATAGAAATTGTGAAGCCAGGAGCCAACTTATCAGCGCGGATAAGCACAGAAAGATGCAGTTATTGCCAGTTTTGGACTGGGTTCCGTCCCAGTGCCCCGTAGTGCTGCGGCATGAACGCTGACCCGCCATGCCGGTCTGCGACGGTGGAAGTAAAAAGGCTTCAATCAGGTCCAGAATAAGACCCGTTTCAAAATCAATGATGCATTAAGAGTAAACTGCTAACAAGTAAAACGCGGAAGCAGGAATAAGTGCGTGACTTTCTGCGCTCAAACTTGTGTGCACGCGACCAAAGAACAGGTTTTTGGTAGGCCTGATACCCACAAAAATGTCATGGGATCCATCGCTTTGTCCGCGTGATGGTACCTTGCAGAGGTCTTTCGACATATTGAGTGGAGAAATACCCCCATACTCACCAAATCCTCCTTCCGCCTCTCGGTGGCCAGATAATTTCTCTCACTGAAGCTTATCACCCTCATTGTGGTCTCGTAATAGTCATGTCATATATCACAGCCAACTCGCTTCATTTCTATTTATTTGAACGCAAGAATCTTTTCAGTTTGAGGAGAAATCGGAATTCTTGGGGTACGTTACATGTATCCATGTTTTTGATCGGTCATACCTTTGGTATTTCCCCCTCCCGTCAAGATGTTGTCAAGCTAAGTAACCCCATACTGTGAAGGTCATTGATACTCTGTTCGACGAATCCCAGCTGCTAAACTCAGCCGCTTTGACATGTGGCTATACTGACAGCTGACAAACACTACCTTGTTTCAATGCTCGATAAGAGATGTCAAAAGCTTTCGTTTTTGTACTCTGTTGAGCCGTCTGTCGGTGCTGGTGCGGTCCCATGCGCCACTTTTTCTTACTTGGAACACACACCGCATACCAGGAATGTCATTCAGTGTTATTCCTTCCACTCCTTGTCGTCGGCACGCATGTGTTTGCCAATAACACCCAGCAGCCAACAGAACTGCGTCCGAAGAGGTCCAGTCAGATCACGGAACGGAGCGCGTGTGTGGTTCGGCGCTCACGCTCACCCTCACTCACAGTAAAGTTTGACGCCGCAGTAGCCCTCGTCTGGCCGCTGGATGTCGTAGCAGCAGTCGAGGTTGGGAGGGTACGACGAAGGGTAGCCTTGCGACTCCATCACGCCCTCCAGGCCGGCGTAGCGTATGAGACAGCCCTCGGGCTGCTGTACGGCTGCAACATACAACGCGTCAGACGCGGGACCGTGCAGGACCGGGCGTTACCCTCGATACACCAACAGGCGTCGAGTCAGGCGCGGGACCGCGCAGGATCGGACGCTACCCTCGAGACTCCAATAGACGCCGGGTCAGACACGGGACTGTGCAGGACCGGGCAGTGCCCTCGAGACACCAACAGACGCCGGGTCAGACACGGGACCGTGCAGGACCGGGCAGTGCCCTCGAGACACCAACAGACGCCGGGGCTGGCGCGAGACCGTGCAGGACCGGGCAGTGCCCTCGAGACACCAACAGACGCCGGGTCGGGCGCGAGACCGTGCAGGACCGGGCAGTGCCCTCGAGACACCAACAGACACCGGGTCGGGCGCGAGACCGTGCAGGACCGGGCAGTGCCCTCGAAACACCAACAGACGCCGGGTCGGGCGCGAGACCGTGCAGGACCGGGCAGTGCCCTCGAGACACCAACAGACGCCGGGTCGGGCGCGAGACCGTGCAGGACCGGGCAGTGCCCTCGAAACACCAACAGCTGATCCCACACATTGCACAAACTTACTTTTAGCAAATGTACCCTAACCGATGCCTAACCTAACCTAGGCAAAGTTGGGTTCCATATCTTTGAAATGCGAATTACCGTTCAAGGGTCTTGAGCCCCAGCATCATGGATCGCCACCGGGTGGGACTTCTCAATAGCTATCGGAGTGGCAAATAAAAAAACGATGGAAGGTTTTGTCTCGCACCAATTTTTATGGGCTTTGATCCGACGGCGTACAAATGGTGCTGTTATTATCTTAGTACTGAACAGATATGGACCGCTCCCGTGGCCAGACCTGTCAGAACGGAACCGTGTTCTTCGTGGACTCCAGGCAAGCCATCCAACCCGGTGGGTGCCTGCTCCACGCGCGGATCTCACTCACAGTGAGTGTCAGACTGACACTCACTCACAGTGAGTGTCAGTCGACTCCCACCAAGGTTAAATTAGGAGAGAGTCGCACCTGAGGCATACCGTTTCCTTGACAGGGCTAGGAGCATTTGGCACAGGTGGCTGCGCCGTGACTATGTCAAGGCGGTACGTCAAACATCATGTCAGACATCTCAGAGATGCATGACAGCAGGTGAGGACAAATACGTCCTTGTTCTTGCTGCTTGGATGACGCGGTCATGGTCGGCGTCCACGCAACAACCCGCACTGCACGATGACCTGGATCCAACACCATTCGAATGAAGGGTTCATTAGGTCAACTTGACCCACCTCCCAAAGGGTTCTCTTAAATCATTTCCCAAGGGCTCGGCGTAGCCGCGCTCAATTTTGCAAAGTTGTAGACGATTAAATAGCGGATTGTTTGGTACCTAAAACTTAGTTGTACCTTGTAAGGTCGCTGACGTACAGCAGGTCAAAGTCAGACCATGGATTCAGGAAAGTCAATTTCTAGGGAATCATGTAATCTTATGCAACAACGGAGCGTTGAACGAAGCCATACATCTCCGAGATACTTTCTCAGGCAACACAACAATTAATGAACAAAGAACATTGACCTAGAGTCAGGTGTGAAGGTCAGACCAAGGTCAAAATCGATCTGTTTTACTACTCTAGGGCTAACTCTATGAGATAGTTTCTGGTCCTCATTTCGAATTTATTGACAACAGGAACTGCACTATACATCTTACATGAACTTCTTTAGGTTGGAAAAGGTCATTGACCTGAAATGACCCAACTCAACATTTTGCTGTTGGCACTGCCTAGAGTAATCTCTGTCGCTTATTCAAATGCAAAAATCAAAACAGTCTTGCATGATTCTGGTCACCATGACCTTCAAAAGGTCAAACAAGTCGCTAGCCCTAAATGAGCATGTAACCTTTTGTTTAGAACAGGTATCTAGGTTATGCGGGCACTTTGGACACTGACGTGGAGTTTGACATTGTTTGACCTCATTTGACTCGAAGGTTATGACCTAAGAACCTCAAACCTTTACAAAAGTAAGTTCACGTACAGGCCAACACGCCCTGTGAATTTGGTATATCTCGCTCTCTCAGTTTCTGAAATCCCAGGGGGTCAAATTGACCCCCACTCGAGCGACGGGTATTCAACTGGTCACCCAGGTGCGTGTTGAAAAGAAGAAATGTTGGGTAAGAACATTGCCTTGGATTCGCGGCCAGACCATCCCGTGCTGAGCCTCCTGCCATTACGAAATTGTTGCGGCTGCTTATCGAACCGTATCGTTTGTCTTTAATATCACCACATGTCTTTTTGTGTCACACATAAAGATATCAAAATTGCTGTGAAGCACGACTGATGCCAAATTGACACCATTGGTATGTATATTCACACTCTCCAGATAAGATATACACCATACCTGTAGATGATACCATATCCCTGCAATGCTTGATCTGACTTGTGACGTAATTGGCACATTAGGGTAAATCAGTTATTTTTTACGCAGAGGCAAGGTATCACGGACTAAGAGCTGTAGTTCAGTCGTCAAGAAAAGCTCCATAAACTAGCGATCTCAAAACGAGCGGCACTTTTTACCTCCCCAGGACTTGCTTGCAAAACTAACGTTAGTTGCCGTGATCCCCATTGCAACGCTATTCAGGACTTGCGCATTAGAGGAGATAAGACCGTGGGTGGTCATTTAATCCGCGGAACCGGTTGGTAGCTCTTTGAAGTAACGCGCGAAAAAAGAAGACCCGCTGTAATCACCCAAGTCTGGATAAGTGCTCGCTTGAGTAACGTGATCATCGCAGATTTTTGTAATGCTGAGTCAAGAGCGTTCGTGTTCATTGTACTTTTTCGCCCGACTCAAAAGCATGCACAAATATATTATCAATCCATCTTGGGGAACGCTTACTCAAAAGTGATATCAACGCCAATGACTCCTTAGACGCGTCCACATGTTTCATCTAACGTGAGCGCATTGTATGCGAGCGTCAGCAGCGAACGCTTCTGAGGGTGGGTCCCGCCCGGCCGTTCCGGGGGTGGGTCCCGCCCGACCGTTCTGGGTGTGGGTCCCGCCCGGCCCTTCTGAGGGCGGGTCCCGCCCGACCGTTTCGGGGGTGGGTCTCGCCCGACCGTTCCGGGGTGGGTCCCGCCAGGCCCTTCTGGGGACGGGTCCGGCCCGGTCCTCCGAGAGATCTCCGCCAGCTTCCCCACGTGGTCGGCCGACGCTGACGGGGGCTGGGCCTGAGCGGCGCGGCGTGCCGCCTGCACCAGCCGCGCCGTCGCCCACGCCCACGGACCGCCGCTGTCATGCGTTGGGCAATCCAGACGGGCTCAAGTGCAGGCGGCAGCGCATTTGCAAGTGGGTGCTGTGACGCAGTACGGTGGACTTTCCGCAGGCGTTGTATTACATAATTTGATGAAATATTCACTGACTCAAGGTGTAACATTAGATGTTACTCAATTCGAAATTAACTGCCTTTGATATAAATCCCGAGGCTCTACTAAACGTAATGGTACAGCACATTGAAGACGACAGTCAATATTTACGACGGTTTTACGTGCCCATAATGTCCTGATGGTGTCATTGGTCTGTCCTGATGCAGAATTGGGCAGGCAGGAAGCACACCATCAAGTATGTGATTGCGTTAAAAAATACGGCATTTCAGGACCTCGTGAGAAGAACAATGTCGCGCTACGTCCCTCCGTGAAACTCCGTGAATTTCGTAAAATGGTTCGAAAGCACATGCCCACCAGCGGGCGGCCTGAATGTGAATGACAGGATGCGGCGGTCCCCACGGCTGCCAGGCGGCGAGAGTCACCGGGTCCCGGCGCAGGCTCCGGGCTGTACTCACCCCTATAGTCGACGCACTCGGCGCACAAGCAGTGGCTCTCGGAGGTGCCGCAGTAGCCGAAGTCGGAGCAGCAGGGCCGCTCGCTCCGCTTGTCGCACGTGGACGCCTCGCCGGTCGCCAGGGGGAAGCTGGCCCCGCACCGGCCGTCGGACCGCCACGTGGGTCCCGACGACAGGCCGCAGCCTGCGGAGACGGGGCGGGCCCGGTCAGCTCGGGGTGGGGCCCGCTGACCTAGTGCGTGGCAGGTCAGGGCGGCGCAGTGGCCTGAGGTCAGGTCACAGGTCAGGTCACATCGCGGTCCGGTCACAGGAGGACGCTACAGTGGCCGGAGGTCAGCTCACATCACAGGCGGAGGCGCAGGTCAGGGAGGTCAGGTCAACACTCCGGCAGGCACTACGTCGCGACCTATACCTCAGGTCAGGCCTGATCGACACCTTGTCGGGTGTTACGTCGCAACACAGCAGGAGCTGCGTCAGTCTGCCTTGGCCAGCTCTGGTCTGCGCCGCCGCATCGTGTCGGCGCACTGATGGCCGCCCATTCGTCCCACCGCAGTGGCGTGAGTGGGCGGCTACCAACGCGAACGGGGCCCCATGATGGATTACATGTGTTAGTCGAGCTTAGGTCCAAGCCACTATGGAGAGGACCCTGAGTGCACGTGTAGTAAATATCGGACTATTGTCAGCGTCAGTGGCGTTATCTTGATATCCCGACTGATCAGTGTCATGGCACACGTAACCATGTAAACATTGCCGTCAGCTTATACATATGGAGTCAGTAGCGATATATTGTATGTAGCATTCGTCTGATCCTTCGGATTAACATGTCGGTCGGCTCGTAGCAAACGACAAATACGGCATTAGACAAGATTTCATTCGAACAGACAACCAAACAACACAATAAATGCCGTGTGTGATGACAGATTATAAGGATATATTGGTTCGCGTACAAAAACATTGGCATTTTACCGCAAGCAGGGAGTGTGCATCACAGCAGTGATTGATGATCGGATCACAGATTACGTCATCTTCTCCTTCTCCTTTGCCATCAAAGAAGTGGGAGAAGAGTGGGAGAAGAGTAGCCGAAGCAGAACAGACCAAAGCAGCGGACAAATACAAAACGTGCGTACAGCGATGACTGTTCAATCTGTAAATAATCGGCATATTTAATGATTCGGAGGTGCTGACCGGAGTCACCTCGTCGTCAGGTGGCGTGGGACCCTCCGGAACGTGCCAGCCGTGACTGTATCGGCTGCGAAAACAGACTGGCTGCTCGCCCAACTCGCTATGTGACCCCTCCGAAATGTTTGTAGCATGGACTTCTGAACCGCCGTTCTTAATGAGCTCGAATCTTCAGGGACGCCTCTCCATCATGGCACGGCCACCCAGCGCACTTTCGTCAACATCTGGGTGACGAGGATGTTGGGCGCCGGTCGGTCGGTCCGCCGTGAAGCCCAGCGGAGCCGCGGCCCGAGCGCTGCGGCCTGCAGCCTGCCGGCGGGCGGGGCCGCTGACGGGAGCGGCCGTCACGGCGCCGGTCCGCTGTTGACTCAGGGAGCGGTCCCATGCAGGACGACGCGAAATCGCCGCCGCCGCCGCCGCCGCCGGCAGGCCTTGGTGCCGCGTGCCGAGTGACGCGCAGAAGGACGTCGCCGGCCACGCATGGCAGCGCTCCGATCTGAACGACGTGGACGGAGGCGGGAGAAAAGGCGGGCTGTGTTGAAATTGACCGAAGGCGGTGACAAGCACAGCTAGCCGACGATTCCGGCCATTTGCTACCGGGACAAAGTCGTCGTTTGACACGTGGCTGACCAGCTTGCCGGACCGCGTGCGCGGCCGGAGCCGGGCGGGCCGCGCCGCCGCTTCCGCAGCCTTGAGACGCGCTCTCGGAAGGCGGCCAGTATGCAGACTGCGTACGGCGGCCGCCGCGGAGGGGCGGAGAGAGAGGAGACCCGAGCCCGGCCCGACTCAGCCCGCTCAAGGCAGCGGCGCCCGGCTCGGCGGCGGCTGGCCGCGCCGTGCAGAGGCACGCACGAGGAGTGCGCGCGCGGGTCCCTGTTCCACGGTTGGCAAGTGCGTGCCGCTACTGCACCGGTGTAAAACATGGCATGAGGACGTCCCTGAAAATGCCTAGTGTCAGATTGATTACCACAACGAGCAAAACTGTAGCATCATGAAGCACAAGAAAAGGCGATAAACGCGTTTCGGGGATCTGCATTTCGGCGAACTGCTTCCCGTCTTCGTCCCCGGCGAGGACTCCCGTCGGGGCCAGCAGCGCGGTGGGGTCCCTCCTCACAAAAAGTTGTGTGTGTGCTTAACGGCACGCAACATATGCCGAACCCACTCGGCCCTGGGTCGACACGTTCGTTCAGACGTCTGTCCGCCAACCACTGATCGCTGATAGTGATCAGTGCGTCGTTGTTCTACGCATTTCTGCGTGGCAGGTCATCAATATGGACAAAATTTGCAGAACTGTCGCGCGGTTTTCCCAGGAAAAGAAGCAGCAAGAGATAACAACGACGACGTACAACAAGTGGACCTGTTTAGCCCACGGACGAGGAGTGCAACTGGCTATCATAAAAACGACGCATCCGGTAACAGGCGCCACGCACTGGACTCGAAGCCGAGCGAGCACGAGCCGAGCTCCGAGCAGCTTTCGCAGCGCGCTCTCCAGCCGTTCGCGCCGGGGTCTGCACCGACGTTCGGCGACTGGGCGGCGCCGGTGACCGACCGAGCGGCGGCTGGCCGCTGGCCCCGGCCGGCGTCCGCTACTGCGTGTTGCAACCGGGCCGGGCCGGGCCCAGTCACGCGCCGGCGGCCCCGCTCACGCCGCCCGCAGCCGTCTGCCGGCCGCGCCGGCGCGGTGATTTATAGTGAGAACTGGTTTGGTGACCGCCAGCTGACTGGGACGCCGCGCCGCCGGCGCCGCGCTCTGCTGCCGGCGGAGGCCGAGTCGAGATCGAGCCGGTGGCTGAGTGGCGCCGGTCCGCATCTGCTGACAGGCGCATCCCGATCCGTGTCCGCTTCGGCCGAAGCCCGGCTCGTGGATGAGCACGTGATGAGGACCCGCATCCGCCGGTGGGGAGTCCAGCCGGCGACCCCCAACTCCGGTGATATCAGGCGAGCTCCTTCCCGCATGCCAGCTGACGTGCATGTCTCGGTCGCAAGGCACCCATGTGACTCACTTAAGCCTGCAGGCCTTCTTTCATATAAGTGGAGTTAAATGCTTTAATGTGCAAAGAGGACGCCTTTTGTGCAGTTGGACGAACGAGGAAACGACGTACGTGAGTGTACCAGGTACGACTTCGTCAGTGAGCATCGCGATGTAGATAATTCCTGAAATCCTTGCGAATGAGGCCTATTATCTTCGAGGAACCCATAAACAAACCTAAATAATGCGCTGAAATGTCCCCTTCATGAGCTCCAGGCAACACTGTTGTCAAGTGTTCGTGAACAAACTTAACAATGGCGCTTCGGGAATTTTGAATGACTGTGATCCTGTTAATTTTCATTGAAAAGATGATGACGATGATTTGGGGCTTTGGGGCGCATCGGCAGCTATAGACCATACAGCGCCCATAACTATAATTTTATGCAGAGCCGCAAATCAGACAAGCGTATCAATCAGGTCACCCTATAAAGCCTTCATGGCATGATACTGTGTCTGTAACCGTGGACTTAGGCCATGGATTTGGGATAAAATTCATGTCTGCACACAATGACACAAACCTGGAAGAATACAACATTTTCGGAGGACTTAACAAAACATAATACGGAATACATGCATGCCATAATAATCCGACCTGCACGCTTACTCAGCTTTGATGGCCTAATCTCTCTTTGCTCAAAAACCGTGTGTTGTATTTGGAGCCGGCTTGTTAAAGGGTGACAATGAACTATTTCTGGTGTGTAATTGACACACCTGAGTCGAACCTTGCTGGGATCATCAAGTATTCGTAGTCGACGCATTCGCTTGCAGCGTTTGTCGTGGAAGACACATTCGTCTGCGGCGTGCGTTGTGGACGAACGTCGGCTCTGAGATCGGACTCCAAGTCTTAAACGCGTCTCGAACCGGGCGGATGCATGGTTTGCGCGCGGTCACGCGTGCTGAGCTGCACAAACGCGAGCAATACTTAAGCCGGCGCAATACTCCGTTCTCTTCTTCATCTGAATGCGTTCGTCTACATCGCTGCGACGCTGGTACATTGGGATCTCATCCAGGTTTGTTCCGTGTTCTTCAAATGTTCTCGATTTGAAAACCTCACGAAACTTCATAATTCCCACGCCATTTGAGTGGGAGGGTAGAATGGTGACGCTGCGGGCTGTAGCGAAGCGATTAAACAACTTTCAGCCAATCGTCTTGAAACCGTTGCTGCGCAATTTTCGAAGAATTGTGCCACTTATTTCCGACAACTTCATGGTAACGCCATCAGTGTCGCAAAGGCATAAGCCTGTCAAAGGCGTGCGTGGCGGGGCCGCACCGGGACGGACCGTTGAAGCCACACGATGCCCGGTCAGCTGACGCTATCGGCCACCTCTCTCGTAACAAGACCAGATGTCCCCCCAAAAACAAATCGTGTCTTATCGCTTCTGGGTAGGTATGCGATTCGGCATTGCTAGGGTCCAAATGTTAAAAGAGGAGGATTTAATGTTGCATCCGGATTCATGTCTGGGCTGATTGATGTTTCTGTAACTCGAGCTCCGAGCTGTTCTGCGGCGGCCCAATTGGCTGCAAGTAGTGCCTGGATATTCACGGTTCAGGTTGCATCAGCAAAACATTTAAGAATGGGAACCAGCTCGCCTGAACATATACATGCTTAGACTTCTGCACGTTTTGCTTTCAGAGGTAAGCGGTTTGAGCCGTCGCAAAGCTGCTCTCGAAATCGTGAATAATGGTGAGATTAATGTGTGTGATAAGTACTGTCACCATACGCCCTCGTGCCTGAATTGGAATACGAGCAGGCTGCTCACTTCATGGCTTTCGGCGAAGTTGTGGGACTCAGAGCTTGTCGATGGTTTCCTGCAAGCTCACAAGGTCCTACAACGGCCGATGGGTTCCCGTAGTAGCTAACATATGTGTCATAAGCGGTTCGGAATCCTCCGCGGCATCCAGGAAATATAGTGCAATGTTGTCGGATTATATCATAGCCGATCAGTTGCTCTGAAATGGACTCAATATAGCTGTGGCACCAGAGGCAGTAAATGCATCCTCCTGAAAAAGGACTGCCAGACGCATCACAGACCGTTGGGGATCGACGATCGACGTTTTAGAATTCACGAGCCAGTCAGGACCTAAGCACTGTATACGTGGATACGGAGCTCTCAACAGGGTGTTCGAATCCCTCACATCGCACAACGATAACCGAGATAGTTCAGGGTCTCTGCCACGGAGCAGCAGTGAACTGGGTTGTGGCGCCTGCCCAGAATGCGGCCCGGCTCAAACGGCCGACAGTCCATGCATACAGCCCACACACCGGTGCCGCCACCGATGGCGCCGCCGTCGGCGAGATAAACTTTCGTTCGAACCTGAGATTAAAGGGATTGTTTCACATTTAAAGGTATTGAAACAAGCATCAGCTATGATAAAATAATTTATTATAATTATTGTTGTATTCTAAGTGGAAAAGACTACTCCAGACGCCACAAGTCGCCTGATTTGTAAATATGCTTTTCAATGCATCATTGTTTGATTACGTCATCACAGCTTGCACAACATTGATTGAGAGCCAATTGACGGTCATTTTATACGGAAATCGTGATCACAAACGCCAGCTATGGATGACTCGATACTGATACTTTTCTTGGCCTCGATTGCCGCGTGGCAAATGGAATGGCAGGATTTGAATGACGTTATTATGGCGTCATGGACGCCTTGAAATAGTCCCGCCGAGATAGTCTGCACTTCTTCGCCGACGTATAGCTCAGAGACGACAGGGGCTGAGGTCCAAGCGATGGCACGGCTATGAACCGCACCAAATAATCTTCGAGATGGCCTTTTCAGCTCAAAACCCCATGCAAATGTGGCGCACTCCCTTAAACCTCTACAACCACAGAATATGGTACAGGTCCTGTGTTCAGTGTTTCACACCAAGGCGATGCAAAATACAAGAAAATACGGTAACGTTCTGAAGGCACATACAATCGAAACAGGCGTGCATGTGTGTGCATGGTCATCCACAAGGCAAGACGGACGGCAAATCTGGCCAAGAAGAACCTGATCTCGAGGGGGGCTCAGATTTCAAAAGCATGACCAAAGGAGAAGGCATGACCACAAGACTACCTGCTACGGAGCGGTGAGTTAACCGGAGCGGTAGGAAATGGTTTTCCTTCGGAGCTTTGCGGTACAAATGTGCTCGTTCTTCTTAGATGCACTCTGTATTCTAAGGCGCGTAGCAATGCTCGATACAGCAGTTGAACAGACGACATTTGATGGCCCAAATAACAATCGAAAGCACATTTTCCGCAAACCTGTCGGAACTATACTTACAAGTACAAGTACAAGTATGACTTCCAGCAAACAATGCTAGTAATATTAAGTGGTAAAAGACCAATGAATGGACTTTCCGGGTACCACATACACCATTGTACACACTTCACCCACCAGAACATCAAAAGTGCACCAAAAATTGGTTCCTCTTCACATGTCGGGCGTGGTAACGTCTATAACAAAGTATAGGCTTCGAGCGCTGACGGCATGCGATGAACACAGCAAACAAGCAAACATTGATCTTTACTGAAGGCTATATTGAAGAGAATGGCGAAATTTCTGATCGTCCAGGCGGTTATTGTCCACAAGGTAAACGGTGCGATACTGTGTTGATTGACGCGCGCCTACAAGTGAGAATTTGTGATGTTGCCCGTCAATTTTTCACGAACGACGATGATGATTGTGGATGATGTCCGTAGTCCACTCTCGAGCCGCTGTGGTGGCAATATAGGCTGCCAGCGCACTTTTGCGGTCGACGTTCTCACAGTCAGGAAACGACACGTAATTGCGTACGTGCTTACATAACGTATGACCGAGTCTCACACGGAAGAGCAAGCGAGCGTGGACTAAGGCGCAGCCTACGCACCAAGTTTAGGTGTGTGTGCGTGTGGGTGGAGGTTCTAGGCGCTGATGCCGACGTGCAACATTGATTGCGATGCCTCACCTGCTGATGAAAAGCCGACACAGCTGACTGCGACTGTCCAGCTCAGCACGAGTCGCCACATTGTGTCGCGCGCCGCGGCCGGCCTCGCCCCGCACCCCCGGCCCCGACACGCCGTCTCGCCCGGTCCGTCGACGCCCGACCCGACCCGGCCTGGCGGGTCACCTGGAGACGGCCTTCACGGCTCCGGTCCGACGCTGACCTGGGCAGCCCACGGCAGTGGCCTCGGCGCTGGCCAGAGCCCGGAGCGCTGGCCGCCACGCCACGCGAGCTACACGCCGAGCCCAGCGGGCCCGAGCGGCCTCAGCGAGCGGCGAGCGCGCGACAGTGGCGCGGCGCGCGGCGCGGGCACTCCATCACGGGCCGGACGACCTCGCGCTGTGGCGCTCCCGCAGCGACTGGAGCCGGCCGCCGCCGCCGCCCGCTCGGCCCAGCCCCGTGCGTGGCCGGGTCCGCGCTTGGCGGCGGGACGCGGCCACGCGGGTGCGCCAGCCAGCCGGTGGCAGGCGCGGGTGCGCCAGCGTGTCTGCAGGGCGCATGGAGTACGCTGGCGTGTCGGCGGGGGGGCACAGGGGATGCCGCCGTGTCCAGGCGAGGCACGGAGCACGAGCGAGCCGGCGAACGCCACCGGATCGGCGTTGGCCGTGTCTCGGGAGCGGGCGACAGGGCGCCGCCGCCAGCCCGGCTCGCCGACGATTGATGGAACACGGAGGTCGCACACTGGCCAGTACAGCAGCACAGATCGCCCGGTATGCATACTGCATACCAATCAGCGACGGGCAGGGGACAATACGCCCGTGACTGGCCGCCAAGTTGTTGCATTGGAAAAGGACAGGTGCGCCCTTGAAGCTTTCGCTTTGAGTTTGCCTCGTCATGCTCCAGTTCCATGTGGGTGCCGTACTGCATTCGATGGTCCGAGGGCAAGTCACGGTCGGCAATATTCGTGGTGTTGTTGCGCCATGCATCGGGAATCGGCATGCAAAATGCCATTATGTGCTCAGCAATCACGCATGACGGGTTAAGCTTCAGACAGCCAAAGTTCTCGACCTTTCATCTGCATGTCAGCGTAGCATGGCACAAACAGAGGTAGATGGCGCACCACAGGTCCGCCGCGCGGGGTGAGTGACTGCCGTCCGTGCGCCGGCCGCGCGCCACGTCCGGCGCACCCCCGGCGCCAGCTGGAGTCCCCCCGGCTCGGGGCGCGGCCCTCCACACATGTACAGCCGCTGGTTCACGCAGCCCGGCGACGGCCGGCGACGGGGTCGGGCCCCTCATCTCCATGTACGCCGCGCCGCCGACGGACGGCGCCGTCTGGAGCCGGCCGACGGCGCTGACGACGCCCACCACCCGCCTCGTCCAGCGGGCGGCGCCGACCGACGCGGCATAACAGTGTCATCACGGTAGCAGTTTAAGGAGATTTAGTTTTGCAACCAAGACGGCGACTTACTCAGCTATGGTAATGCGATGCGGATCAAGGGCCGGCGCCTGGCATCGAGACTGACGCACCGCAGCTGGTTTGGCGCCCCCCCCCCCTCCCTCCCCCTCCGGTGCTCTTTTGGGCGTCAGGCACGGCCGTTGTTCGGGTGAAGGGCGACCTGCGACACTAGGACAGTGGGTGGAGCTGCGCGTCGGTTGGTGGGCGCTGTCGGGACGGAAGAGGTTTACTCTAGTCCCCGCGGGCACACCCGTTGAACTCTCACACTCGGCTGGCATTTAAAGAGCTCGCTATTTAGTGCTCGATTATACGGCAGTGCTCGTACAAGAAGTGTTCACATCGAAGCTGGGAACGTGGTCAGCCTCGCATGAGGCCAGTCAGCAGTGATTACACGCCGAGCTGGGGTGGCCTTCAGTGACCGGTTAGTCTAGACTAGAGTTTCGTCTCGACCTTCTGCGCTAAACGGCCCAACTGAATGCTGCCATACATCACCACGGGGAGGTGCCGCATGTCGCAGCATAAATCACGCACAACCCTCTGAGCACATGGCACCTGGCCGCATCGACGCTCTCCGTTAACATCAGCAATCGCCATCAGACGTGAGTGATGGGAGCAGTGGAAAGCCGAGACGGGGACGGGTCGGGGCGGGTGACGCGGTGGCCACGAACCAAGCTGCCTGGCTGAGTCGCCATGCAACCGTGACCAGCGCGGATGGCCTTGTGAGGCCGAACGGTTCACGTAACCCGCCTGCGGCCATGGTCGCTAAACCGATTAACTTAATAGCGCGCAAGCGAGGCACGGCGCCGCATTAGCTCGTACCTGCCTGCGTACGAGGAAGTGCCGGCGGCGTCAGCCTCGGCTCTCGGGACTGCCTTGTCTGAGGGTTCCGCTGACGTACAGCGTCGCCGTCTGGGGTTTCCGGTGACGCACAGGCGTCAGCCCTGAAGACGAGCGACGCCGGGCGACGCGCGGTGGCCGACCGGTGGACTCGGCTACCGGCGCCCTCCGCGTGCATACCGCGTCATCGGTGATGGGTGGCGCCCCTCCCCCACACTTCCTCTTTACCAGAACTGGGTCAAGGCCGCCGGCCGGCCCATACCCCAGTCACCTGAAGGAGCCTGTGAACCCAGCAGGAGCCCAGTAACCGCTGCTGGTCAGCTTAGACTCCAGACAAGGACAAAACTGTGCTGTCGCTTTAACACGCCGCTGGGCATGGGCTGCGTGCACTTTAGGCTATCACGCTCCTCAGCGGGGTGGGCTGCCGGCATTTAAGTCGTCGTGCAAACGTTCATCCTACCGTCTTAAGCGGCTCAGTTTTAGTTAGATAAGCGGTCCGTAAGGTCGGCCGAACAACACATGATTTCATCTGTCATGTGCCACCCCCGTATTTGGAAGTCCTGCAAGACTGACGAGCCTGCGCCCATCGGGCCTAAATGCTATGCGGCGATGGACGTCCCCTTCATTGCCTCACAGTAGGCTGGCAAAACTGTCACAGCACTGTAGCTATTTAGGTTGAAATGTAAATTTCAGCCCGCATCAATGCAAAGGGTTATGCTTTCCACACCAAGGCCAGTTTTGCCAAGCACAGCAGTGAGAACGGCGACCCCGAGATGAGCCAAAATGAACAGCTAAGCGTAGGTATAGTCGTGCGCAAGCAGAGAGTTTATTACATAGACTGAGGACCTGTCATAGTACATGACCACAAAACATGGTTCGTATGTATTCCAATATTGCCATACAACCTAAGCGCTCCTTAAAGCAGTGTCGAAGGGGGTCGCCCCTAGGATACCAAATTGATCGGGTCTCGGTGCAGGCAGCCCTTCGGGGCCAAGGCCGAGTCGATAGCGGTGCTGGCTAACAATTAGGGGGAGAAGACGCGGCACCGTCCGGTGCAGGGTACCACAGACAGCCGTCGGCGCCTCTCGGGCCGCCCCCTGCCCGCAGAAGCCGCGGCCGACGCTGGCGTGACGTATGTCGGCGATGCGGCGGTCACGGCGGTTGGGAGCCAATGAATCCTCCGACTGGCGAGGGTGCAAGGCGAGAACAGCGTGTCAATGCCTAAAATGTAAATAAAAAAGAAGATGTTTACATTAGCCTGGCATGTTAGCAAGGCTGATCCAGGACCTGGCTTTCTCAGTAATCCAGGGCTCGGCTCTCTTAATAACGCTCGGGTAGCGATAAACAGAGGCCTTTTCTGGTGACCCAGAGATGATCCGTGCTATCCGAAGTGCCCGCTCGGCCGCAAAGAAGAATGCTTTGCATCGGTTGCCTTACTGGGGCGACCATTAGCAAGGCAAAGACCGAAATGACCATGCTGGTTGGCAGGTCATCTTGATACTATCGGTACCGTGCATTAGCCTTACCACCGCTGTCTAGGCGCCCAGCCAAGGCTGTCAAATTAGAGATGCCTCGACAAGCACGGTGCTGTCTCGGTGTCAGCCAGATATCTGTGGAACAGCAGCCCGCAGGAAGAAGCGGTGTCTCTTAGAGCGCCTAAGCGGTTTTACACTGGCTTCGCACCGAGGTACTGGGTAATAATTCTGCCTCGTGGCCCGGCCAGCAGGGCTCTTCCAGGACGGCCACAGTCTCGTCTGGCGTTGAACATCACACATGCGCTATGGCTCCCGGCTGGCCGACGACAAAGTGGTTTGCAGCCGATCGAGGCAGACATCCGCCTGCCACAAGTGACGCTTGGAATGTAAACGACTCGGTTGATTTCTGTCTAACTGTATAATCAATGCGTTCTCCAAATATAGGCGAGGTGTCGGCGCCAGGGACCAATTTGGCTCAAAGCGGAAGCGTCGATCTCAGCGTCATCTCCCGGGCGGTCGAGCAAGTCTCACAAAATGCTCTTGACCAGGTTGACTTGAGCAGAAATCGTGACGAGGTGCGTGCAGAACATGGGAGCGGGGGGGGGGGAGCAGAAAGCACTAAGCACTAAAACAGCAACGAGAGCACTAAAACAGCACTTAAACACGATGAAAATTGCCGCTTGTCTCTCTGACATTTCCCGCTTTCTTCTTCCTTCTAGTTTCATTCCGAACTGATTGGGGCTTGAAGGCTCGCCGACGGCAAAAGTTAGTTTGCAGTTGGGTTGACATTAGCACGAAAGGCGCACGTCCATTCTTTTCTGACCAGCACGAGCGACCCGCAGTCCTGACAGTGACTGAATTCGTGATCAGACTGGGGCGTGCGACATGCCATACAGGACTACACACACGCACACAGGCGCACGCACACGTACACGCACACAGGTGCACGCGCACGGCAGAGCCGGCCTGTGCAGGCCGTCCCGGCGCGCCTGGCGGCCAGTGGCATGAATGAGACCTGCCGGTTCGGGCCCTGTAGTGTGTTTCCGTAGTGTGTTCGTAGTGTGTTCCCCATCGGCCGCCCCGCAGACAACCTGTCCTCCCCTCAGTCGACGCTTCATCCCGGATTCTCGCAGACCCCGTTCAAGCCGCGACCATGAGCCAGCAGTCGGCGTCGCAAGCCCACAAAAACCTAAAAAGGGTCACTTAACAGAGGAGGGCTCGGTGACGAAGGCCTCCTGCGATGGCATGACATTGTACAACTGTTTAATCCTCTCTTTCCAATTCAAAGCCTTGAAATGGCCAGAGCCTGCCGAGGGATGTCTGGGCTAAACACCCCCAAACCGCCTGGACCAAACCCAATCCGAGATGCTGACGCAGCAAACAGCCGACCGAGTCAACGTGGCAGCGACTGAAACGCGTGGCACGCTACTTCATGCCGAGGGCAGCCACCACACTGAATTCGTCCCACCGCGTGGAACAAAGTGCGTTATTTCCGCAAAACGGTTTTATGTTGGTGGTGCATACTGGTCTCGAACGACACGGTCTTGAAATACATGGTCCCAAAATATGTCTTAAAATACAATGATCTCAACAATATTCGTAAATGAGGTTTGCAGCTTGGTATTGAACATGATGGCCAAATTGTTCCTACAAAATGGCTATATGCGCGTGATACCCGCACATCAAAAGCTGTTTCGAAGCCTGTGGACTCAGACTCAGTCCGCGCATTTTGTGATGGGGCTGGAAGACCACAGGGTCCTCGACCCAAGGTACTTTTCTGCACAGCTAGTTCCTTTAATTGAGCTAGCCCCTACCCCTGACATGGTGTGTACGCTACAGCAGCGTTGCTACCGCCGCCCGCCACAGCAGTCCACTGGTGATCTCCTATCTGAGCGGCAGGTTCTCGAGTCAGGTCACGAACGCGCCGTGCGATCGTCCGTCGGCCCGGCGGTGGCGCCGGTGACCGACAGAATATTCGTCCCGCTGGAGGGCCGCCGCGCCCCCGGGAAAACCCGCCGTGCAGACGGACGGCGGCACCTGCACATCTGGGCGTCCGATAAACTCCGCATGGCTGATGGGCCAGGAGACGCCGTGTTCGCGGTGGCCGCTCGCAGCCAGGGTAGGCGGTCGGGTTAAACGCTTGGTGAGGATGCGGCGTGCCTTTAGCTTCATTCAAAACGGGTGCTGAGCTGAGAGCACATAAACCATTCATCGCGTGAGGGGAGATAACGGCTTAAGCCGTCTCGACTGAGGTTGACCACAACGCATCTTACGCGATAATACAAATGACGTCAAAACTTTTCAGATACAACTGTCAATCCATGTGCAAGGTGTCTGTACGCGTCTTTTTTACCGACCAGAAATTGTGCTACAGGAACGCGTTAGGTTCTCTATGAAAAGAAAACACTACGATCAGACACGCTCCCCAGGTAAATGGGGTTCGGGGAACAAATTTTCTGAACCAGCCTGTCTTACAGTCTTTGTTTGAATATCGATATTTAGGCGTTGAAAGGTCGGCGCTGTTTTGACATACAAGACAATTGCGATGCATCCAAGGCAAGTTGATTGCGCGGTTCCAGATCAACATGCTTGATGCTTCCATGTATCTGTACTCTAGTGATGCATACCGTGCATTCGATTAAGCTGTGCAAGAAGATGACGTGAAATCGAATAGAGGTTAGATGCCTTCCCATACAAGCAATAAGACGCTGCACGGTTCGCCACGGACAGCGCCCGATGGTTCGTCTGGAAGGGTCCAACAAACTACAGGAAACATTGGAAGGAAGTCCACCGATTGCACCGTGGCGCGAAAGATAGTCCCAGCTTGACACGAGACAGCAAAGCACGCAACGTCTCGACGATTTTTGTCCCGAAACGAGTTACGTATCAACTAAAAATCGTTATATATGTTGTATACTTTATTGCACACCATGAGATGGGTAACAAGTACGCATACAGGTTACCACTGACTAAACCGTACCAAAAAGCTGAGGACATGTTCTCGAGCTCAAATGAGCCCACACGACTGAGTATTGTCTTCGGCCAGCCTTATCTTTTCGAATAACTGTCATACACTTCCACTTAACTATGCTGAAGCCATGCGTTCAGCGGGTAGCGAAGAAAAAACAGGCGTTGACCAAACTTAAGTATGACCTAACCAACGGTCTGAGACATCATTGAGTGTCAAAAATATAACAATTCCAACTTCTGAGGCATACTTCGTTTACACTAAAACATGTAAAATAGTTATCACATATGACAGAGAAGTACAATTTTCGATAACTTCGCACCGATTTCACAATAATACCATACGCACGCGTGAAGACGGTGATTTGGCCTTAGGGCGTGCCGACCGCCCGGATCCCAAGGCGCCCACCCGCACGCCTTCAATGCAGCACACGAACAGAACTCCTAGCAGGCACGCACGAGTCCAACCCAGCACGAACCAGGCCCGCTGCTCGCAGCAGTCGTCTATCCCAGAGGCCATGCCCTCTACACTCGTCCGCTGAACGGAGCCGCGCAGGGCTGCGTATTGCCCCTACCCCTCAGATCATTGCTAGCTAGCGTCTATGTACCCGAGTGCAAGTGATCCACTCGGTGATCCTCTGTCGCCGAGGTCCTGGTCAGCGTGTCTCCCGCCCACATGGCGGGCAATACCGGGCCCGTCTCCTCCGTCCGTCACACAGAGGGCCAGTCACCTCTGTCCGTCAGGCAGAGCAGGGGACAGCACCGGGTCCGTCACCTCCGTCCGTCACACGGAGCAGGGGACGGCACCGGGCCCGTCACCTCCGTCCGTCACACGGAGCAGGGGACGGCACCGGGCCCGTCACCTCCGTCAGTCACACGGAGCAGGGGACGGCACCGGGCCCGTCACCTCCGTCCGCCACACAGAGCAGGGGATGGCACTGGGGCCGTCACCTCCGTCCGCCACACGGAGCAGGGGACGACACCGGGCCAGTCACCTCCGTCAGTCACACGGAGCAGGGGACGGCACCGGGGCCGGCACCTCCGTCCGTCACACGGAGCAGGGGACGACACCGGGCCAGTCACCTCCGTCAGTCACACGGAGCAGGGGACGACACCGGGCCAGTCACCTCCGTCAGTCACACGGAGCAGGGGACGGCACCGGGCCCGTCACCTCCGTCCGTCACACGGAGCAGGGGACGGCACCGGGCCAGTCACCTCCGTCAGTCACACGGAGCAGGGGACGGCACCGGGCCCGTCACCTCCGTCCGTCACACGGAGCAGGGGACGACACCGGGCCCGTCACCTCCGTCCGTCACACGGAGCAGGGGACGACACCGGGCCAGTCACCTCCGTCAGTCACACGGAGCAGGGGGACGGCACCGGGCCCGTCACCTCCGTCAGTCACACGGAGCAGGGGACGGCACCGGGCCCGTCACCTCCGTCCGTCACACGGAGCAGCGGCTCAGCCGCCGGCCACAGAAGGGCCGTCACCTTTGTCCGTCACACAGAGCAGGGGCTGTCACCTCCGTCCGTCACACAGAGAGGGCCGTCACCTCCACCCGTCACACAGAGCGGCCGTCAGCTCCGTCCGTCACACAGAGGGGCCGTCACCTCCGTCCGTCACACTCCGGCCGTCACACAGAGGGTTGTCACCTCCACCCGTCACACAGAGAGGCCGTCACCTCCGTCCGTCACACAGAGCAGGGGCTGTCACCTCCGTCCGTCACACAGAGAGGACGTCACCTCCGTCCGCCACAAAGAGGGGCCGTCGCCTCCGGCCGTCACACAGAGGGTTGTCACCTCCACCCGTCACACAGAGGGGCCGTCACCTCCGTCCGTCACACAGAGCAGGGGCTGTCACCTCCGTCCGTCACACAGAGAGGACGTCACCTCCGTCCGCCACACAGAGAGGACGTCACCTCCGTCCGTCACACGGAGCAGCGGCTCGGCCGCCGGTCAGTGTTTCGTGAAGTCATCCGGGATGGGCACGTCGAACACGATCGGCGGGTTCAGCGGCATGTAGCTCATGTCGCAAGTAGAGGCGTTGATGTACACGACCTTGCCGTCGGTGGTCACGCCATACCCTGCGGGCAGACGGGAGTGGCAGCGTCAGCGTCAGCGGCGGCGGCCCACCACGGTCCTGGGGCCCCGCCGCCAGCCGAGCCGAGCCGGGCCGGGCTGGGGCGGCGCGGCGCGGCGCGCGAGCGGAGGTGCTCTGGGTGGGCCAGGCGCTCCTCACTCGCCCGGCCGGAGTTGTGATATCGGGCTCCGGATCACGCCAGCTGTGAACCCGCTCAGGCGATCTGGACATCGATTACGCAGCACGACGGCACTGTGGATCAGTTGCCCACAAGCACCAGTGCAAGGATTTTATAGCACGTGTCTTGACGTTCTCGTGCGCTTTCACTGGGTTGGACTGAATAGCTATGCTTCGTGCGCAGCACAGCTCATTCATGTGCCACCCAGAGAGCGCACCGGCCACGCGTCGTGACCGATCATCGATTTGCCGTTACGTCCGCCTTGTTCAGCATACTGGTACGACTTGACACCACCGCGCTAACATTCCGGGTTTTCCACGTCTGCCGCGCTCACAAACAGTGGTCGCTCGCGGCGCAGGTGAGGCACGGCCATGGTCAGAGGAGTAATAACAGCCCGCTACCCGGCAACGGAACCAGAAGACTCGGGTAACTCTCCACTAGCATCTTATCTGGAGTAGCCCGCCGACTCGCCGCACGCCACATCACACCGAGCCGTTTCGACCGTCCCTAACCAGCCCTCTCCAGATCCGGCCGCACGCGCGCGGGCCTGCACTCATCGAGCAATATCCGGGGTAGGACGGGCGGCCGCGGCCCGAGCACATGCGGCCCACCAGGAGCGGTACCGACCGCGGCCGCGGCGCCGGCACCTTTTCCTCACTCGGCGGCACGCACACCACTGAACCCCCCGCCGCCGCCGCCGCCGCCGCCGCCGCCGCCGCCGCCGCCGCCGCCGCAGCCGCAGCCGCCGCAGCCGCAGCCGCAGCCGCAGCCGCAGCCGCAGCCGCAGCCGCAGCCGCAGCCGCACCGCAGCCGCAGCCGCAGCCGCAGCCGCAGCCGCAGCCGCAGCCGCAGCCGCAGCCGCAGCCGCAGCCGCAGCCGCAGCCGCAGCCGCAGCCGCAGCCGCAGCCGCAGCCGCAGCCGCAGCCGCAGCCGCAGGCCGCAGCCGCAGCCGCAGCCCCGCAGCCGCGCGCAGCCGCAGCCGCAGCCGCAGCCGCAGCCGCAGCCCGCCGCCCCGCCGCCGCCGCCGCCGCCGCCTCCGCCGCCGCCGCCGCCGCAGCCGCCACCGCCACCACCCCCGCCACGACCCACCCTTACGGACGTCAGTCGTGGGGTGCCGTCGGGGCCTCCTCCGACTGGACGAAGCCACGTTGCAGACGCCGCGTGGGCTGGCAGCACGTGAGACTCCCGGCCCACTCCCACCAGACCACCACTGAACAGGACACGCGGCCTGGCTGCACGCGGCGCACCGCACTGTGGCGGCCGGCCTCGTCGGCCCCGGGGGCTGAAACGGACTTCCCCGGAGGCACCTCCTTCACCCTCCACGGTGTCCGGGAGCAGCTGGCCGTCCGCTGGGACGAGGCGCCAGCCGTAGCCCGGATCCCGCTCAACTGAAAGGCTGGAAGCGCACCACCGCACCGCCGTATCCGGGCAGGCATCAGCAGGGCCGCCACCGTTTTCCGGACACGCTGGGTGAGGGCGTCTCCGACCCCCGAATATATGCGCTGACTCCAGTGTCTGAATATCATTCAACGCTTCATCTCCAGCCAAGCTTGTCACATTATGGACCGTCGTACCTGGGTGCCGAGCCTACAC